ATGGCTGACCCCTTGGTGACCATTTGGCGGGAGGATTAGGAATGGTGCCATGTGGAAGGACCTTAAGACACCACCCAGAGACTTCTTCTTCCTGCAAGAATTCAGCCTATGAAAACCACTCCCCGTAAGAAGAACAAGAATAGCCATATAGGAGGGAGCAGATCCAACGTTTGGGTTTCTAAATCCCTACATTTAGGATTCTGCTGTGCGCTTGAGGAAAGGTTATATTTGCTAATAGGAATGGCATTAGCACCTCATCCAAGTCATGACACATGCCATTTGCTCTTGTCAGTATTTGCATGTGTTAAAAGCAGCTCAGCTGGAAACCCCCACAGCTTGGTTGATGCCAGGATTCCAACAGTTTTAAGCTCTGGCTCTTTTCTGATGTTCTTCCTCAGTTTTTCATGAAGGGCTTCCTGTAAACCAGTGTTTCTCAAACTTGGCCACTTCAAGATGTGTGGACTTCAACTCTGGCTGGCTAGGGAATTCTGGGAGTTGAGGTCCATACATCTTGAAGTGGCCAAGGTTGAGAAACACTGCTCTACAAAGTTGTAGGATAAAATATTGAGAAGAACAAATGCAAAAGTCCCAAATTCATTTATTAATTAATGGTTCTGTACAACCGACCAAAATGGTACAAATAAGGTGGGCTAGCTTTTGGCTTCTCCAGCAGCCTTTACCAAGTCAGAGATTACAAATTGCAGGGGAGAGGATTAAACTATCAAAATGTCAAGATTTACTTCAGGTTGAAGAAAGTGATTTTCCTTTGGAAGTAGACTCTTCCTTCGGCTTAACATAGAGTTCCCAGATCTGGGCTGCAAAATTCCATATGGTCCCTTGGGGGCAGCAAATAATGTTTTCTGCCTCTTTCAGGTGCCCTCTAGTGGATATCTGTTTTTCTTTCAACCCAGCCCTATATTTAATGTTTATAAAAAGATGATTGCCGCCTTGATTCATAATCAAACTATGGCCTAATTATCAGGAGAAAGCTGTGATCTGATTTTGTAAAAAGCATTGTTTTGAAAAGTCTAGCATTGTGGCAGAAGCTTCAGTGCCTCCAGGGCTGAGTCATATTAATTCTTTATGATGAATAAGCTCTTACTGCGGATCCTCCTGTATTTACCAGTTGGACACATATACATCCCTTTCCTATTATATGAGGAAGCTGCTGATTGGCCTATGGAGGTCCTGTGCTGAAAGGCTTCTATACCTCTGGTTATACCAGCATAATACAGTTGCAATTGCATGTTCTCCAAGCACCAAAATCCAAGGATCCAACTTCACTCCCATAGTAATACTGGCACTTTTATCATCACTTGCCCTTATTAAATTGTAAATGGACAACATCCCACATGACATTTGCATAGAAAACTCCAAACATTGGAACAATGCTGGGAGTTGTAGTTCAGAACATCTGGAAGACCACAGATTTTCCATCCCGTGCATGGGGCTCAGAACATCTACCCCTCCCTGAAGAGCTCTATGTGGGGCCATATGCCAGCATGACTTATATGGACAGCCCTACAACCGTACCATTACCGTGGAGTAAATTCACTCTATTGTTATAAACATTTTCAGTTCTTGGTTTTGCTGCCGTCCAAAACACTGCATCTAACTAGTTTTGAACTCACCCGGGGAACTGCAATGGTTCAGAGTTACTCAGGGTTCCTGCAGCTCTGAGCTACGTCCCTTCCATGACCAAGAGCTTGCACGATATCTGCTGTCTGCTGACCTCCATTTAAGCTCATTAAAATCTTACGTTCAAATCGTGGGTTTTTCTACACTATGAAAAACAAGTTGTGCATTTACACTTGTCAGCGTGGTCCCCAAACCAATAAAGATTTAGGAGATGGTTATTATGTAAGCAACCACCTGCACTCAGTGAGAAGACCGCCAGTCTGCCAGTTCACAGAAAGACAGTTAAGATAACAATGAGGAAGGCTCTGTTCTGAAGCGCTTTAGGGATATGTTGGCATTGCAACTGGAAACAGTTTGGTTGTTGGCGCTCCTGTAACCTCATCCATTTCTTCTCAATAAACATTCGTAAAGAGACTCTGTGAGAATCATGCTTGGAAAAGAATCACTTCTGGTTTTAGAGCCTGACACAGGGTCACATTGGAATACTCTCATGAACTGAGATCATCTCAAGGTAATTTTTACAATCAGATCCAGCCCTTTTTACTCATGAAAGAGACTCATTAGCTTTCACACTGGCATGTCAATTACATGTCAGTTTCACCTTATAATATATAGGTCAGTGTTTCTTGAAGTGTGGTCTGAGGACCCGGGGGTTCCCTAAGAACCTCTCAGAGTCTGTGAAGTCAAAATTATTTGACAGATGTTGAAGATATTTGCAAAAAACTAAAACAATGTCACTCTTCTCATTATCATTTTCATTTGTTAAATTGTTATTTTTTCATGAAAAATATTTTATGTATGTTAATATCTAATGGATTTAATATTGTTATTTTTACAGGATTCAGTAAATAAATTTTCTAAGAATGCATTAGTTTTAATTTTTAATACAATAAATGTTGATAAATATAACCCATACAAACAAAAGCTCTTTTGGGGTCCTCCATAATTTTTAAAAGTGGGCAGGGGTCCTGAGTGCAAAACGTTTGATATAGGTAACCATTCCTAGCTAACATGATATAAGAATTCTTTCCTTAGGTAATCTATGGGGCTTCTCAGCCTTTATTAGGAGCTTATATGAGGCAGATTCTGAAACATTAGACACTTTCTGAATAATCTAGAGCAACTTGATAAAAGAGAAATACGTATACAGGGGAAAAAACATTCTACAGATCGACTTCACATATTTCACCAAACCAAAATGTTGGTTTAGTTGTTTGTGGCTTAGCGTGTTGCATGAATCTAGCTAATTATAGCTTATTTACTTAACCATTATTAGCAAAATTGTGGCTTAGTATGCTGTATGAATCAGGCCTGAGCCTCAGATCCAAAAATTAAAAGAAAGATCAGACTGACGGGAGAAAAGTAGCTACTTACAGAAATAGTAGTTACCTCATGAGTCAAGTATTTTTGAAGCCAAACATTTTAGAATTATATTTTAGTTAAGAACCAAGGCTTAGGGACAAGACATTGATGTTTTAAAAAGTAAGTGGCTTATTGGGCCTAACAGGACTATAAACGCTTGCTTGAACACTTACTGAGGCAAGGTGTCTCTTGTGTACCACACAGCTCCCAGCTTTCAACGTAACAAGTCTGCTTCTCACAACTGATGCAGCCACAAAGACTTTGTTTGATGCCCAGTTGCTGTTCGTGCCATGAGAGAGACTCAGAAGCACTGTATTCAGCCTCCCTATGTCTCTTCTGCTTTTATTATTGTCAAAAACAAATATTAGCAGCATTTCACAGCTGCTAATACATTTAAAAACTCCAGGAGGGGAAGAACGTTCAGTTACAAAATGCAACCAAAGCAACATCATTAAAATATTCATTTATTGATTTCTATCCCCATTCCAATCCTATCAGATGCTGGGCAGGTAACAAGAAGCTTAGATACTTGCGTACCATACAAAAATGAAAGAAAAAAGCAGAACGCATAACACAACTAAGGGGCGAAACAATGCTTGAACAAGGTGAAATGCAAGCAGGGTTTAGGCCACCCGTATTCCAAAAAGTGAGAGGCCTGGTCCGCACCCCATGGACCTGGAAAGGAGAGGACCCCCACAGGCCCACTCTAGAAGTCCGGCCTGGGTAGGCAGATTCTATCTCAGCAAGGCATTACAGAGAAGGCTTTAAAAACCCCCAATTTGAATTGGGTCCAGAAGCATACTAGTAACTAATGCAGCAACTTAAGTAATGGGGTTACACTGGCCTGGAGAGGTACCTGTCATCTAGCTGCTGAATTCTCTACCAGATGTAGCTTCCAGAACATCTCCAAAAATATCATCATTAAAAAAATTGAGCAGCAGCAAACACAAGATATATTGTTTATTATTTGCATTTATACCCTACCTTTTCTCCCTAAGCTAAAGGCCCCACATGTGTATGGGCATGGTGGTCTCCTTTTATCACAATAACACCTTTGTAAGATAGGTTGGGCTAGGAGACACTGGCCCCAAGGAACCCAAGCAGGCACTTTGGTCAAGGATGTGTTTTTCAGTCGTGGGCAACCCTGAGTGTTCTTTCCAAACAAAAAGGCACCATCACTTTCTCTCGGCCCAACCTACCTCACAAGGTTGTTGTTGGGGGAACAGTTGTGTACCACCAATCACTCCTGAACAAAAGGCAGGATATAAATCTAACGCATTAATTAACCTAATAAATAATGCCTGGGCAAACTAAAAAAATTAACCTGGCGCTGGCATGTTGGCAGCGCAGATGCCAGCGCCTGGATGTGCATCCTGCGAAAGCATTCTGGGATGAAAGAGCAGGCCAGCTATTCTCCAGGGGCCACCAACCACCGGGGAGTCTCGTGTGGGATCAGCTGTGTGAGCCTAACACGTTGCAGCCCCACTGGAACCCAGGCCTCGGGAGCCGCAGGGCAGCGGGACCCCTTCCTTCCTTTTTCATCCCTGGAAGGAACGGCCTTGAGGTGCCTGTCTGGAGCCTCCTCCGTTGGGCAGGACAAGCCAGACCTGCTGCGTTTCTTGGGACGGGCAGGAGGAAAAAGTCCTGC